AACAATTTTGTTTCAAGTTTTTCATGTCATTTTTCTATTAGTTTTTAATAGTAATTGATTTTCAATAACTTTTAGAATTATTATTAAACTTTAATCAGACAAACTTTATTTGAATGGGATTTTTTCACTTTTAAATTGGGAATTTTAATTTTATGAGCATTTGGGAATACCGTGTTTGACGGGGCCCCACAGGGCTAGTTTACACCCTGATATATATATATATATATATATATATATATATATATATATATATATATATATATATATATATATATATATATATATTATATATATATATATATACATATATATATATATATATATATATATATATAATATATATATATATATATATATATATATATATATATATATATATATATATATATATATATATGTATAATACATACATATAATATATATATATATATATATATATATATATATATATATATATATATATATATATATATATATATATATATATATATATATATATATATATATATATATATATACATACATATATATATATATATATATATATATATATATATATATATATATATATATATATATATATATTATATATATATATGTATTTCTTTATATCATTGTAGCAAGTGTCAAATATTTTTGGGATACTATTATGTTTAGTACTGCCACAAAGCACCTGAAGTTTGATGGAATACCGGTTTACGAGTTTATGCATTGTTATTGCTATGCAATACTATTATTTAATATTAAGAATTGTTTCCATATATACTCCAACAAACTTACTTATTCAAAAAAATAGCACAATGCATAAATACCCTATGCAGTGAAATAAATAATAAATATTAAAATTTTTATGTAAATTACACACTAGTCTTATATTTATAATTTCACAATAAGTTTCTCAAATTTTCAATTTATAAATAAAATAATTGGCATTGTTTTCAAAATTTACAAAATAATACTGATTCATATTTATTTGCTTACTTAATAAAGCCTTAAAAATAACAATGGCTGTAACACTTGCTGTAACTACTGTTTTCTTAATTGGTGAGCCACAAGATGCATTTAACAGTTGATGGCTGCCGACAACTCGTGATGTTTTAATTTTTCACCATCATAAGAATGAAAAACTGTCACAAAAGCTGTTAAACTTGCTATTCAACAGTATGTGAAATTTGGGCCAAAGCAAGGGTACAAACGACTGAACTGAGAAATATCATTAGAAATTTTGAGGATTTATTAGACAGTTACCAGAATGTCTGTCGCAATAAAAGTATAAAAGTTGTTGCGCAAATGGCCCGAGAAGCAGAATTTGAGCAGTCTATCAATGTGTTGTTTGACATTTCTCACCATGATTGCATGAATTTGATTACAATTGAAAAAGATAAACTATTTTTGATCGATCAGTAGTCTGAAAGGAAATAGGCCATGGGTGGTATGGATACCAACTTGTCCATGAAAGAAGAGAGGAAGGCGAAAAGAACGACCAAAGAGGAAGAACAACGATCTGAAGAAGAAAGAAAGAACAGCGCTGCTGAATCTGCATATTTGTCCGGAGCAGGTCTGCTCAGTAGTTCTGAAGCTGACCTATCTCAAAATGATGCATCTGAAAAAGAATAGACCAGCTTCAAAAAGACTCCAAAACATGCAAAAGTAGCGGCTAAGCATATTTTAACATCTGAGGTTGCAGCAGTGCTGGATCGTACAAATATCAGAAAAGCTGCATTTATCCTCACAGCAGCAGCACAAACCTTCAGCAACTAAGATGTAACTATCCTGCCACTGTCTACCAATTGAAGGCTTTAGTTGCTGCTGATGGCCCCTTGGTCGTTCATGTTGACGGTAAACTACTTCCAGCCATCAGTGGTAGACCAGAGAAAGAAGACCATATCGCAATTCAGGTAACAGGTTGTCATACCAAGAAACTTCTTGCCATTCCCAAAAATGGACAGGGAACAGGAGAACAGGTGGCACAGTCAACATTTGCATCTTTACTGTAGTCCACTCCAGTAAAGATGCAAATCACATCTGACGGAGCAGATTGCTGAAATAATATTAAAAATAACTGCATCTAACACAGGTTGTTTAAATGAATCTTGTGTTTTACTGGAGAAGTTACGTAAAGAGTTTTACTGGCTTGCTTGTAGACATCACATGCTTGAAGTAGTATGTGGAGATGTGTTTAAGAAATTGTTTGATCCAACATCTGGTCCAAGCGTAGCACTATTTCATTGTTTTCAGGAATTCTAGCCTCAAATAGACCAAGGTGATTACAAGTGTTGTATGGATAGTTGTGTAAATGTCAGTCTTGACAACCTCAAGCATGATGTGGTCATTTTTGCAAAGAATGCTCTAGCAGGACAAGAAGGATGTCTTCCGAGAAAAGATTACCAAGAACTCCTTGAACTCACATTGATTTTCCTGGGACATTGTCCTCTAAAAGGTGTTAGTTTCAGAGTTCCTGGTGTATTCCATCACCCGAGATGGATGTCAAAGTTGCTATACAATTTTAAAATCTTTCTGTTTCAACACCAATTCAAACTGATGAAGCATGAAAGCAGTGCTTGCCTAGAGTTCAGTTTGCAATTGTATGTCCTTTATGGTACTTAAGCAAAGAAATGGTACCACTTAGCCTCTTCTCAGACATGGTCACACTGAACACAAAGCAGAAAACGGTGAGTCAAGTATGAAAGCACCCAGCTAGAAGAAATGAAGATCGTTCAGTCAGATATACAGGAAAAGAAAACCTCAGCAGGAAAACTCTCGATCATTTCATTTGACCTGCATCCCACCTATTCTTTGCAACCCTTCAAATTGACACCTCCTTTCTGTCAGAAGATGTAGATAAGTGGCCAGAACTGCCGTAGTTCATTATTGGAAAGAACACTACTGAATCTTTAAAAGCAATCAACGACAGCATTGAGAGGGTTATCGCTTTAGCCACTACGTTCTTTTCCTCACTGACAAAACAGGACCAAAAGCAATATCTGTTTCAAGTTGTTGAATAACATCTGAAAGCTTTCCTAACTCAAAGAAAGCTAAGCTACTTAATAAACATAAATAGACGTTAGTTGTCTGTTAGTGATAGGCCTACTGCAGTTATAATGAACACTGAACTTGGAACAAAATGCTATAGGTCGAACTCGAATATAAAAATATCACTGGACTATTACGAATAATTGTCTACTTAGTTAATTAAACAATCAAATATTTACATTTTATTTATTGTATTTTAATAGCAAATAGTGCAAAGTATGTTCACATTTGAAATTTCAGAATAGCTCAAATCATGAAACATATTTTATGAGCAAGAGGATCACAAAAAAACAAGAGCATAAAAGTTTTGACATAGTTCATTTTTTTGAACCACCCTAACACACACACACATATACATACAGGCCTTGTTATGAGATTTTGATGTGTAACGGAAAAGCGCAACATGAATAAATGTAACTTTATTAAATAAAGATTTTTATGTCGTTAAAAGTTTAATTGCGTCAGCTGCGTATTTTAAAATACCTCATTGTATTTCAATTCAAAAACACATTAGAATTTATTGTCTTTTAAATGAAATATCTTTAAATTAACAATATTGTTATAAAAAAAGTTATAAATTAAATTTAAACGTTGATTAAAAAATAATTACCTTGTTTTAAAATGTTATACTTATTCACAGTTTAAATTTTAAACTTAATTGTTTTTCTTTAAAACATTCTTTTTACGGTTATTTTTTTTAATGAGTGGACACTTGTTTATGGTTGATTTTCTTTAAGGGATTTAAGTGTACTTCTACACAATTAGATTGGGTTTTCTCTTTTTTAAAAAACTTTTGCGTTAACTGGCTTTTGATTAAATTAAAAATTGTAATTAAAGGAAGATTACCGTTTTTTTGGCTTTGTTTTTTTTTTATTTCCATTAAAATATTTTATTTCTATGTACCGTGAAACCTAAAGTTTTTTTATTATTTCTTACTAAATCCAAAAAGAAAGATAGTATTTTCGATTATAAGATTTACTAGCAGAACTTGTTTTAACAAATATCAGTATAATTCTAAAATTTAAGTATCTTATATCTATAGCACTAGTATTAGTTTTATTTTAAAAACAAAATAAATACAAGCCTTTAAAAGAGTTTATTTATTGATTTTGTTATTTTTAATCGGTTTAAAGTTTGGTTCGTTTTATAAAAAAAATTCTACTGCATACAACTTAACGACAAAGGGAAAACCCAAACAACATTTAAACTCGAGTTTGAAAGAACTTTTTTGTATGAAGTCATTTATTAACTGCAAAAGCGCATTATTTAGACCAGTATTTGGAACTGGAACTTACCTGAAACTTAACTGAAATTAAAATAAAGTTATATGTAATGTGAACATTTTAAAGTTACTTGAATTAAATTTATTAAATATTTTTTTTTACTTTAACATAAACTTTGGAAATTTTATCAGTAAAAAAAATTGTAAGACGTTTTGAAATTTTTAAAAGAATTTTAATTAAATTTAATCAAATAAATTTCCAAAACTATGAATAATAATAAAATTAATTCAAATTTAATAAAATAAATTAAATTAAAAAAAAAAAAAAACAGAATATAGAAAAAAGGATATCTATCTGTTTTTTATCTAAAAAAAATATTCCACAAACGTTTTTTTACAACAATTAATTTAATTTTTTACAATAATTAATTTAATTTACAGTTTAATGTTTTCCGCTTAATCTGTTTTAAAAGACTGTTTAAAATTAACTTATTGAAAAAAGTTTTTGCATAATGTAAATTGCGAAACGCGTACGCGAAATCGTGAAAACGCACATAAAACTCAAATAGGAAAATGCTTCTTAAAAAGGCCTGTACATATATATATATATATATATATATATATATATATATATATATATATATATATATATATATATATATATATACACACACACATGAAGTTTTTATATTTACACATGAATTGAATATACTAGGCATATGTTAGCATCCATATAAACAATTACCTTAAAAATGATACATCTCCATAAACACCACCACTTTCTTTAATTACACATATTGATGAAGGTGAAGATGGAATTGATATAGCTGCTATAACTCGAGATACTCCAGGATCATAAACACATAATATACCTGATGAGATATTAGAATTACATTTGAGACCAACAAGTAATTTATTTTGATATAATGAGAAACAAGTAATTGTCCTCTGGCAGTTTATTGAACTAAAATTGCAAGCTGATATTCTTTTACCAGATGGGAGATTGATCATTTCTAATAACCCTCCTTTAGCTAAGTAAACAAACTTTCCTGAATCAGAAATAAGTGCACTACAGTATGCTTCGTTTTGATCTATGGTTGTTATGTTATCCAAACATTCTTGTGTTGCCAAAGAAAAAGTAATAATTTCAGAAAATTTGACTGGTTGTAATTCCTTCATGTTTAACTTGTGTAATACAGCTTTGTATGTAATAGATATTTTTTTATCCTAAATAAAAAAATGTTTATAAGCTTAACATAAATAAATAAACCCACAAACTTTTTTTGCTTTATTTGTCAAAGATATAATTTTTTTTTAATATCAATTTACTATTACTAAATATATCGCTAAATATTTAATTTTATATTTTTGTCACTTTGTAAAATACAAACTGGACCATTTTATAGATAAAAGATTAACATGAGATCTAATTTTAAAAAAAATATTTTATAGGTTTAATATATTATGAAAAAATGAATTAATAAAATAAATGTATAAAAAAAATTTTATCTTTGAAAATTATTCAAATTTTTCATCAGGTTTTTTAAAAAGTAAGCTTACCGATCCTCGAGTAATGCTTAGTTTTTAAACTATCGATGAGATTAAAAAGTAAAGAGGGGCGGTTTTCCGTAACTTTACCCTTAAACGGACCAATTCGTTAAATAGTGTCTAAACGAATTAGTTGACAATGGATGATAACTGCTGTCATCCATTGTCAACTAATTCGTTAAATAGTGTCTAAACGAATTAGTTGACAATTGATGATAACTGCTGTCATCCATTGTCAACTAATTCGTTTAGACACTATTTCGCGACGTTAGAATTATCTTGTGCTATCTCCATGTTTTTGCAAACTGAGAAAATCGATGAAAAAAGTTTGAATTTGTTCGCAGCTAAATTGAAAAAATATTTTGAGAATTTAGGTATTTCCTAAGATTTAAAAATGTTTTATTATTAATTTTTAGATAAAAAAAACTTTTTAAAATTACGCTAACGCCCTTTTTTTCGCACCCTCTTTTGGAGATAAAACAAAATAACTTTGGTTTTTAGTAAAATTCAAAAATATTATGTTGTTACATCATATATATTAAACATATTAAGTACATTTTTCAACAACGACATGTTAGAAATTGATGAAATTTTGTTCTACCTGCTAATTATTCTTACGCAGTACCATACACTCCTAATTTATGGGCATGGGCCCCTAATTTAACGGGACCCTTTTCAAAATATAATACGCTTTTTGTATTATCTAAAAAATTAAGTTTTTTTTAAATAAAATGAGGCCCTAATTAGGAGAACTTTTAGAAGAGCCTCTAACGACACTGTTCTTACGACTTACATTTACTTTAATTACCTGTAGGCGCCGGCCCTGGACAAGACTAAGACGTCTAATTTAAAACGGAAAATTTGGCTGCGTAATAATAATATAAACGTATTAATATAATATAAACGTATAAAATAAATTATGAAAGGTATATAGGAAAGAGTTATATTTAAAAAAATGTAATAATAAAAGAAATAACATTATGTAACTATCTGATAATTCACAACAATTCAACTAATCTAATCACAAACTCCATGCAAGATGAACTTGATTTTATTTTTCTTATGCCTGTGTATCCATTAATAGAGTTTAACTTTTTATTAAAAGTTATTGCAAATATTTACAAATAAAAAAATGTTACTCAAGTTAACGTCAGGAAGGATATTAGTTTATTGTAACGATAATAGAGAAATGTGAGTTTTACTTTTTTATATGGTACTTTAATAATTCATCAGGTTGTGAAACATTGCTTTAACTCTTTCATAGTGGCCTTTATGTCACTATGGAAAACCATCCAAACCAAACAAGTGGGGGAAAATGAATATAAAAGTACAAAAAAAACAAACAAAAAAAACACAAGCTAAACAAAAATTTTTATCAAGATTTCAAAATAATATTATTTCAATGTGTTTTATATTTATATTTATACTAAATAAATATTTTATTTAAATATGTTATTTATATGTATATTATTTATATTATTATATATATATAAATATGTTATTTATATTTATACTAAACATATAACAACCCTAAAAATATTTTGACTTTATTAATGTTTTGTAAATGTTCAATTTATTATTGTTTTATAAAATGCAATATCAACAGCAGGCATGTATGAATACATGGAAATGATATCATTGGCTTTTGCAACAGATATAGACTGATAAGAAGCACGAAAGCAAGCTGCCATTGGTATATTGGTATTTAATGGTTTTGCAACAATGGTTGATGCTGCTTTCTTGACAGACTTATTTATACGAGCTTGTGAATAATTATCTGAAAACGAGGTTTTAAAAAAAACATGGTATGGCAGTCCGTTTCGATAAACAAGATTTTTAACCTTTGAATAAGGCACTAACTTATAACTTGACAAACCAGCGACAACTGAAAAATTCTTTACATCTCCTAATTGCATTTGGTAAACACAGAAAGGTTTTTTACGGTTTACATTTTTAATAGCTCTTTCTAGCCCAAGTGGACTAAATATTTCTGCAGCAGAGAGGGATTTTTCAATCTGACTATGAATGTTGTCACATTCTTGAATGCTGGAATGACCTGGCTCGCAGAACTTCTGTTCAATTACTTTTATTTGTGGGTATCGTATTATAAATTCACACAAAGCTGCTGACATTAAACTATTGCGGTTTTGTGGTACACATGAATCGAACCAAAGTATGAACTTATTTATGTCAAGGTCAGCCATGATTTTCAAAAGCAAACATGTTACAGCACTGGCTAGATCATTTCCACCACGACCAGTCATGGCTTCGTGCCAAAGGATGCAATAACCCTTCCTGTTAAGCGAGCAATGACCAGTTAAGTTATAATTTGAAAGTTTTCGTTTGTAATAAAAGTTTCCCACATTAGCTCTAGGCAAATTTAAAACATTTTCAAGGTCAATACAAACAATTGCAGTTTTAGAACCAACATTTTGGCGATCATTTTCACATTCAGTTTTGGTATCATTTCTTGATTTTATGTGCTTATTATAACTATCTGTTTGTTCATTGCTTGCATTAACAATGCTGCGATACTCATAGCATGTGTCACATAAATCTTTCTTCGGTTTTTGAAATTCTATATTGAACTCGTGATTAAAGATATAACGATACATATGTTCTTTTGCTGGAGGAGAGACATTTTCATCACAATATATTTTATAAAGATCATACATTCTACCTATATTTAGTGATCCTTCCATGTATTCTTTATGTGTCTTTTTCCTGCTATAATGAGCATTAATTCTTGGGAAAAGGTTAATATGGTCTCGTACAACTTGTTTAGACTCTTCTAGTAACCTTTTTTTAACATGTTTCCCTGATTTTGATTGCAATGGTGTTCCAGTAGTTAAAGATTTATTAAACTTATGAAAGTAAAACACTCTATGGCTGCTAATATTCAATGTTGAAAGATAATATGATTTACAAACTCTATATTGTGTATTAGAAACAAAAAAGCTATAATAATAAGATGTTTTTCTTCTTGAATTGTCACCAGCAGCTGTCCGACAGCGTTTTTTCTCCAGATTTTCAGTAGTTTTAGAATAGAAATGTTTTTTTCCGTCATCATCTAAGGTCCAAAAGTTATCAAATATTATTTGACGCTCAATCTCATATATAATGGTAGAACATTTAAATTTACAATTTCTGCAACTTTTTAGTGCAACAATAGATCTTTTTGGCATTTGTTCTCCTTTCGTATTTTTATAAGCTTTACCCGACTGACGTTGGATTTTTCTTACACTTTGTTTCCAACTACTCCTATCAGCTTTACGTTTCCTAGAAACCCCACCATGGGGCGACCGACGAGAAGGTGTAATGCCAAGCAGCTCTAACGATTAAAATATTAATTTTTTATTATCCAGGATGTATAAATAAAAACTTTTAAATCTAATCTAAAATGGCACAAGCGAAAGTCGAATTCTACTTTTCCAAAATTATAATACAAATTAAGTTGAAAAACTACCTTCGTTTTGATTTAGGGCAGGTTCCATTTCTTGGTCAATATTTGCAGTTGCCATTTTGAAAACAAAAAAACTGATAAAATTATTCTGAACAACTTTGTAATTGTAATATGATTGGTTGATTGGAGATAGAACAAGATAATATTTTCAAGTTTGCTCATTAAGGCCTTAATGAGCAAACTTGAAATTATTATCTCCTTAAGGAGGTAGAACAATGCAATATTGCATGCAATACCGTGTTAAAAGTTTCATTTTTTTTCAATATAATTAAAGTAAAACAACACAATGCTAAAATATTCGAAAATAATAAAATCTCAATTTTTTCAAAAATTGGAGATATCACAAGATAATTCTAACGTCGCGATTTAACGAATTGGAGTTGAAAATGTTTCTATGTACTACAGGACAGCCTTAAAATTTAATCGTATGGTCGTTTTTGATATTGCAATATCAAATATTTATCAAAAACTTAGTGAAGCAAGCACTCTGATCACTGCGCCACGGCTTCTATATTGCACATAAATTAAAACTTTCTATTTTTTGAAAAATCATCCTGTATTTTGAGGAAGAATATATTAGAAGAAATATATATTTATTTATTTGCTGCAGTGAGCGTATGCTCACTGAGTATTAAACCAATTTTTTAGCAAGTTTAAAAACTAAAATTTAACATTTTGAGACATGATAAAGTTCATCAATTTTTTTTTTAAAGTTTGAGACTGATTTAACATGTTTGACATCAAAAGGCAAATTGTTCCAAATTGATGACGCGATTGGTAAAACTATTTCCTTAGTAAAACAATACGCGTTTACTTTTCTCGGAAATGTATTTATGATTATGGTTGTATTAACGGACATTTCCAGCTAGTCCTGTTGGTAGATAAAAGAGAGATATCATATTAAGCTGATAAAGTTTATTATTACATTTAAAAAAGATAATGGAGTCACTTCTTTTTCTTTTAATTGATAAGATTGTTAAGTTCAATCTTATAAAGGTATTTACCTATGAATCCCGGAATCCTCGTTACTCTACATTGTACTCTTTCAATAAGAATAATTTTTTAAAAAAAAATTGGATTCCAAATAGAAGAAGCATTATTAGGATTTACACAAACGATACATGTAACCATCTTACCTATAGTGTTTAATAATAAAACGGGTGTCGGATAAGATCTAAAATTTTATTTGTTTTAGAAACACAAACAGATATATGTTAACCATATTTCAGATCGCTTTTTAATATGAGGCCAGGGTCGTTTTAACATTCTACAATATTCAATTGTTAAAATTTCTAAATGCGCTAAACATTTATAAAAATTAACATCTACCAAAGTTTATTGTTTTCATGCTAAAATATAAACTTGGACTTGCCCCATCACATTTTTAAAAAGAGTTTTTTATATGCAATAGAAATAGATATCCTAGCAAACATTGTTTTATTAGATTTACAGTGGACCTATATTGACATTTTAAGCTTCATTGGAGTTTTGCTCATTGGTTACTTAGTGGACCATTAGTGGCAACCGTTATAAATCGCCAGCCGATAACTTTCCGACATGTTTATTGTGGCTAGTCACTGTAGTTCCACTGTAGTTTTGCTCATTGGTTA